GAAGCCATCTGGAATTTCTGCAGTCCACCCCCCATTCCATGGATTCCACATGGAATAACCCGGGGAGGGTAAAGTATTGCAAGAAAGATAGCTCAGAGTAAGTATGGGTATTGTTCTCTCTCCTTCATTGATTGCAATTGTAATTGTTACTTGTATTATAGTTCTATGCCACTGTCTGTCTTATTGTCTAGTCTTGTCTGGTTGATTCTAGGAATTCCTTTACAATATCCAATCTTGATCTGGATATTTATCTGGCTTTATATGGCATTGCCTGTTACTGCAACACCTAGCCAAAGTCCCTTTCCAAACATTTTGTTCACTGAGTTCAGTCGAGCAGTAACCACTACTTTTGGCTCTAGTGCTACATTGGCAACTGTATTGGCAATCTTGTTCTCATTGACAGATAACACTGATTTGCTGAATCTGCATTTTCGCCAACAGCATCCAACAGAAACTGGAGAAAACAAGATTCATACATCTGGTTGGATTACTGCCCTTGTAAATGCTTTAAGTGACAAACTGGGCAAAAATTCTCCTCAACTTTGGACACATTTTCGCTGGATTGCGAACCAAGTTTATTGATCCCACAATAGGCCAGTTTAACTCTTCGAATTCGAATTTGATGACCAAACTTTCCAAAAGTGGAAAGTTTTGCAATAATTCTGAAAGCCGATGTTCCACAACTTCTGTTTCTGTCCACCAATGAAGAGTAATCGATAATTCTGTGAGTTCGGATGCATGTTTGAATGGCTGGAATAGATCTTCGAAGCCACCGAAATCGGGGGGTCTGGTGATCGTCACTGAGAGGGAGCACAACAACGAAATAAGGTTGCGGAAGGATGACAAGTCCATAAGTGGCTCCCATCTGAAGGCAGCTACCAAGCGATGTAATCACAGGGCGGTCAGGCAAGACATGAATCGAAACATGTCCTCATTCCTTCCTGAGATTTCCAACTTCTCCAGCTCTCCAAGAACATGGGTGACATTTTTGAAAGAATGCGACCTGCGTCCATGCAGGTCAATATTGAAATCCAATGTTAGATTTACCAATGAGGAGAAGCTCGCAATGGCATTGACGTTTTCATTGCAGAAGTCGGTCTCTGTCAGGTGGAGTGTGCGCAGATTTGCAAACTTTAAAAATGAGCAGGGCAAGTGTACTGGGAACATCACCGTCGCCCATCCCTGCAACCTTCTCCATGTCAGCGCTCTCAATCCTCCATGCAAATGCTCCAGGATGACATGGGTCATTCAGTCTGCAGCTCCTACTGAAAAATCGATGACGGATGGTGTAAGCAGTGTTGAGAGCTCTGTTGCCATGTCTTCATTGAATTGTGGTACCCCATACACGAGACATCGAAGTCCAGGGAGAAAAGGTGCGTCTGCTGCCATCAGGTTGTATGCTGAAGAGTCGGGCCTTGCGTCGTTTCCTGTCATATCAAGACTCCGTATCCGGACTGCCATCCGCTTAAACCTTATCCAGTCGGCTGCTTGTAGTGGAGGGGAAGGCAGAAACTGTAACTTTTTTGTAATGAAAAAAGAAAAAAAAGGAAAGAAAAAGGAAACTGGTGCTTACGAGGAAGTGATCATGTTCAAAGCATCCTCATATTAGCATTAAGAGATTCCTCATCGTCTCACGTTCGACCACATGATATCCAGTGCCGGTTCACTGATAGATTTTGATGTCAAAGTCAAAGCAAATAGCTCATTGCCACCCAGGAAGGGACAAATTTCCCTGGTGATTTCCACTATTGAGCATTACAATTTTGACATACGTTGCGCGTGATCTGCATATTATATAACATTAACTTGGCCATGTGAAAGGATCCACAGATGATGTACCCTGCTTTACGTTTCCTCTTTGCTGAACTTATTTCTCTTGTCCATATGCCTCTTTTTGAATACAGACACTAACTCTTCGATTGTCCTCTTGGGGCATGACAGGCACTTTTTTGGAGCCACATTCTTTAACGCCTGAGCACTTCATGTATTCTTGGTTCTTGAGAAAGGAAAATCGTTGCCAGAGTGGAATGGACAACCGACTTACAACAACAAGTGCACTAGAATGACAGGTTAGGTGCACATTTACCCATTTCCCTTTTTTTTATCCATTGTCATACAAATGGTGTGAGTTTTAAAGGTCTACCATCATTGTGGCTATGTTCCGAATCATCTTTCCTTCATGCCCTCAATCTGGAGCTCAGAGATGCCTGGTATGGCTAAACACAACCGCTGTCTCTCAGAGTTTCCATTCAGGCTGATGGTGTTCTCTGGCGACTGGCCAGTTGATGCCTGGTATAGCTAAATGCAACCAGTGTCCAACCTCCATTGGCAAAGGTGAGCCTCCAAATGTCTTTGCGAAAGCTTTGTAGGCAGAAGAGTCTGGTTATGCATCATTCGGACTATAAAAATTCTCCCTGATCTTGAGCGTTTTAACCCTCCCTGCCACCTGATTGAACTTGGACCAGTCTGGGATGGAAGGCAGGTACTATTTCCTTTGTTAGAGAAATAAAGACAAAAATGCATTCTCGGTACTTACCAGTTTTCGGTTGCGTTTAGTGCATCCTGGAATGATCAGGAACAAGTGCCTCAATGTCGTAATGTCTCTCCATAACATGTCCAAGGCGGACAGGCTCACAGATTTACATGTTGACGCCAATGCAACAAGTTCTTTGCCCTCTGAGTAAAAACAAATATTGTCGACGAGTTCTCCGATTGAGAGTGTTCGTGCGGAGGGTGTCATGATTGCCACTACAATTTGTTATGTAATGTTTATGTAGGTTAGGGAGCAGCACTCTCCCGCTTCCGAGGATGCAACATGATGCACGAGTAATCACCATCACTTCACCCTTTCCATCACACCTTTCTACTCTACCACCATGTCAGATCTTTTGAGGCGTCTGCACAACGTGTGTGTCAAGGTCAACCAAATAGAGTCCCTTCCGCCTATGGCTACGCCCAACACCCGCCAGAGACATGTGGTGTTCTGGAAAGCACTTTACCAGTACGGAGGCCAAATCACCACTCACCTCAGCTTGCTGTCAGAGCTGACACCCCAAATGATGGACACACGTGCTACACCTCTCAAGCGGAAAGGACACTTCATTCCTCCATTCCACTTTCCCCCTGTTCTTTCTCTCACCCCTTTCTTTTCTCTCCCC